TTGATAATCATTTTTGTTATATGTAATGCTGAAATATATTTCGTCACATTATCAATTTAGTTATGTAGATAAGTTTAATGCCTGCATAATGTCTAGAAATATCTATGTGAACGGGCTACTGAGATCGCGCAACATTACTACATCAGGCTATTTTTCGGAGGGTTATTCTAAAGCATTGAATTATTTTAATAAACCAGATATAAAGAGCTAAAAATTTTCATTGTACATGTCAGATTTATATGAAAAGTGTTCAAAATTTGATATTTTAGGCTTGAATTAGTATTAAATCACTTCAAAATAAAATATCTATGTCTTGAATGAAATCATGAAAAAACACGTTGATATTTTACACCATTAACCTTTTATTTGGTAACAAACATATATAACTTCCGTTTGATTAGACTTTATTGCAGTAATTAATGAACAATTTTGTGGTCCAAAATAGAACTTCAACTTTTACTCGTCATAATCTAATGTCTCTTCAGCTTTAGGGTACTTTTGCGAAGATAGCTAGTAACCTTCTGTATCAACTTTTGATATATTAAATTTTGATATTAAATACTATGAATTAGCATTTTTATTTGCTATATATGTGAATTATTAGCACAAATAATTTTTGTCTTTATTTCTGTATACAAATGATAAAATATGAATTTGCATTACATATATTTAATTTAGTTTATATTTAGTACATCTGCGTAGGTGGTACTTTTTTTGTTATTAAATGCAAAACATCTAAACAAAAACCACGCAATTGTACGATAAATTAATTTTTTATATAGTGTTAATTATTAACACCAAATATTATTTGTCTAAACATTTATTATATATTTGTATAAGTATGCATAACACACTATACAAGGTGTTTCATTATTTAGAGATAGGTTAAGTTTGGGAGGTCTTCTCTTGATTTAAAAATAAGAAAAAAGAAAAGTATATGTTATTCTCAAAGCAAAAATAATCGAATATATAGCATAAGAAATTTAAATGTTTTAAATGTAACGTCTTAAAATTTAGAACTGTAATAGTGTGACATTAGTATCGCGTAAATAAGACATTTTATTTAACGTAATTAGATTCAGAATAATTTTCAATGCTGTAAGTAACATTTCGAATGGACAAGTCTTAAAATTAATTTTATTAATTTTGATATTAAGTTTAAATCATTTGGATTAAGAAGTTATTTCTTTATTTTCAAATAGTAAACTAAAATGATAACTTTGATATAATGCCAATAGTTTTTTTTTCGAATAGAGGTGGAATCTTCTAATGATGCTGTAATAGCATGCTGGATTTATGCTGTTCGATACCGCTTTTTCTCGGATTTACGCAGGTACGATGTTCTTGCATATGCCAAACTTGCGACACAGTACACCTACAGACTAAACCTTAACCCCTATAATAAAGGCAGCCCTTTAATAAATGTCCTGCTGGACCGCCAACTAGGTATTACTTCGCCAACAGTTAGAACTACTTGTGTGCTACCCGGAAATAAGATGAATGAACGAAATGGTTTGACATTATCTCCGCATTCCTAGATAATTAAATAGAAATATTACCAGATGATATATTGTAAGATATACTAAAAATGTTTAATATACATATTTAGGTAGATAAAACAAAAGTATAAAAATAAATAAATTAAATAAATAGCATATAAATGTAAATATATTTCAATAATTTTTAATTTTTAACAAATTTTTCTAATTATTTCTCGAACATAGAATTATTATTACTGTTAGTAAAAATTACGTATTAATAATCGTATATATGATAATTAAGGAATATTTTAAAAAATATTGATATCAATATTGTTTCTGTTAGTTTACAGAATCTTCTTTATTTATTAACTACAGAAGGCTATGTGGCTATTCATTTAAAACTGCATAAGCAGTTAACATATAAAGATAAGTATAACAGTGTTATATAGTATTAGTAACATAATTATAACTGTAACATAATACTTTAACTTTAACAAAGGTAGTATATAGATGACTGTTGCAATCCACTATAAAATAAGTTTTTAATTGTTAAAATAATACATGTTATCTTATTAATATCAACTTCCTA